AATATGTAAAACCATATTCTAATGAGAAATTTAAAAAAATGCCACTTTACAAAAATGCCACACTTTTGAAATCTATACAAAAATGCCACTTTTTCAAAATTATTTTTTCTTTATATTATTTATGTTTGGGTTAATTATGTTCTTTTAGAGTTTAGTTATGAGGGTTTAAGGGGGTTTAGGGGTCCAAACATTTTTTAGTGTTTAGAATTTTAAGATATAGGGTTTAAAAATCTATAATTAGTGGTATTTTTACAAATGAACACCTCTAAGTGATATTTTTGCAAATGTGCACATAAAAAGTGGCATTTTGCAATTTCTCCTATTCTAATAGATAATTTTTTTTTTAATATCTCTTTTCAAATTCTTCCATTTTTTTTTTAATTTAAGGTTTTCTCTAAGTGAAGTTTTGAGAGGCTGCCACATGTCTCTTTTGGTGTTAACAATTTTTCATTTTTAGTATCTTATTTTTACTTTATTTTGACATATGCCCCTCTAGATTTTAGAAATTTTGCGTTGATTCTTTAAAATAAAAATGTTATATCAATATATGAACTTAAAGTAAAAATTTAATTAACATTCAATTATATTCCTAAATTAATTAAAAATAAGTAAAACCATATTCTAATGAGAAATTTCAAAAAACGCCACTTTAAAAAAATGCCACACTTTTGAAATCTTTACAAAAATGCCACTTTTTCAAAATTATTTTTTCTTTATATTATTTATGTTTGAGTTAATTATGTTCTATTAGGGTTTAGTTATGAGGGTTTAAGGGGGTTTAGAGGTCAAAACATTTTTTAGTGTTTAGAATTTTAAGATATAGGGTTTAAAAATCTATAATTAGTGGCATTTTTACAAATGAACACCCCTAAATGACATTTTTGCAAATGTGCACATAAAAAGTGGCATTTTGAAATTTCTCCTATTCTAATAGATATATATTTTTTTTAATATCTCTTTTCAAATTCTTCAATTTTTTTTAATTTAAATTTTCGAAAAACTATCATATTTAAAAAAAATATATTTT